TTTGTACTATTAATGTGGGGTAGCTCGACGAGATAAACGCGAATATCCAAATTCCCGGTACTTTTCTCGTCACGTAATCTGTTGTTTAATTAGTAATCCATTAAAAAAATAGTACCAACATTTTTTGCATTATATGCATTATATATTTATAACTAAAAATTATGTATTAAAAAATTAATAAAATTATTATTTTTATTGTTCTTCAAATTGTTTGTAATTTACAATTACATCCATCTCCGCTCCAGAAGGTCGCAAAAAATTAATTTTTTTTTTAAATTCGTGAAAAAATGTCAGGAATCGATTTCCAAAGTAATAATTTAAATTACATAAAAATTGACTAATTAATTAAGAAAAAACTCGTTAAAAAAATGTTTTTTTGAACTCATTTTTTCCCATTAAAATGAAAAAATTCGTTGCAATTTTTCAATAGGATGAAAGTACAACTCTTGACGAGGAAAATAAGCCCTCAATCGTTACTCTACGATCATCCTCTGAGAAGATCTAGCCAATTTATGAGAGCATCTTTTTCTCTAAAAATCGATTTATCTCGAAAAATAATCGATATTTTTAAATTTTTAAAAAAAGCACTTTTTCAGCTTGTCATAAGCTATATTTGCAAGAAGTAACAACTTTATAAAGGAAACAGTTAACGAGATCTAGAGAACTCGATTTTTGACGGTTTTTTCGATATAACTCGAAAAGTACGCCACCTATCGATAATTATTATAGAAACAAATTGATAGATTTTTTTGATATCTACAACTTTCTGATTTAACTTTCTTCCATCCGAGCTACAGTTTTCGAGTTATTTACGAAAAACGTGTTTTTGCAACTTTGACAATTTTTTAGGTTATGTTCTCCATTCAGGATCGAGTTGCACGAAATAGAAACTCTATTTCATTTTTAATTTCCTATCCGACCGTATTTTTTTTTTCCTACTATTAATTTCTGCAAATTTTTATATTGTGCCGTGACAGGTTTCCTGGACTAAATGGCCACAGAGCATGCGCATGTGACCGCAGTGCAGGTTATGTTACGATTCGCGATACGTCGTGATGGGACACGTGTGTGTGTGTGTGTGTGTGTGTGTGTGTGTGTGTGTGTGTACATATAAAAGGACTTAATATTATCACTAATATAGCTACTATTACTTAAACTACGTAATTTATAAAATAACATCATAAGAATTTTGTTTTCACATTTGTAGAATTCGTTTTTAGCTAATTTTATATAGAAACAAGCCACATATATATGAATTATGGGTTTTTACTTCTTTAATTACCTAAACAGATTATGTTTTCATTAGTATTAATGAAGTGCAAAGATTAGTTTACGAGAAATAAGGGGGTGTCACTTTAGGAGACCTATGTCAATATCGGTGACTTTCCTCTACTGATTTTTGAGGTTATATATGTGCATCAAACGCTAAACCGTATGGCATTTTAGAAGGCCAAATGTTAACGCTTTAAAACTGCAAAAGGGCGGGAAGATATATAAAATTTAAATTGTTATTTCGATTGTATGAAATCTAAAGCCGCAAACTTTTTTGTAGACCTAATAGATTCACATGTATTAGGTATTAATGTATCACAATCAATCATAGTCTTTTCATTGCAACTGCGATGGTGTTCGTACGTGCAGTAGTATTATATTTTTCTTCACGCGTGCACGTAATGTGCTCTACACAAAGAAAAATTCTATGTGTAACAGTGGGGGCATATTTGTTTATAGGTCGACACGGGCGCGCGTACGCACTCGCTTCGCTCGTGCCGTCGCGCCCGTCCCCACAATAAACAACTTTCTCCCACTGTTACACAATGTACTATATATAATCGTTACTTCCGGTTTTTGCTGAAAAATGGTATCGCCGACCTAACCTTATTGACGTTATTTCGCGACTCTGATTAGAGGATCTCTAACTTCGCTTGTGCCGTCGCGCCCGTCCCCACAATAAACAACTTTCCCTCACTGTTACACAATGTACTATAATCGCTACTTCCGGTTTTTACTGAAAAATGGTATCGTCGATCTAACCTTATTGACGTTATTTCGCGACTCTGATTAGAGGGTCTCTAGTCTATACCGCTCGATCGTCATGGGGCATGTGGACTGCGAGCGGAGTGGTGAGGTGAGAGGGGTTCAACTTTCGGTTGATTTTCGAATAGTTTTCGTTCAGCTTTCGCTGTCCCTCTTACCATACCGCACCGCGCACAGTACAATACCATTCGACCATCATGGAGCACTTGGACTGCACGCGGTGAAATGAGGTGGGAAGGGGTGGGCAAATGCAACTTTCGGCTGATTTTCGAATCACTTCAATCTAACTTTCGCTGTTCCTCTCACCTCACCGCTCCGCGCGCAGAACAATGTCATTCGACTGTCATGGGGCATTTCGACTGCACGCGGAGCGGTGAGGGGGACAGTGCAACTTTCGGTTGATTTTCGAATCGCCTCCGTCTAGCTTTCGCTGTCCCCCTCACAACATCGTGCATAATATATTACTACGAAAAGCAACTGTTTTACATTTATTTAATAATTTTGTTTTGTAATATGCGATCGCGTTAACAAATAAAAAATTAATATGTTGTTCTAAAATTGACGCGTTAATATTAAACGGTAGTGAAAGCAGTCTTGGGGATTGTTTTGATGTTGAAGGGCGGACGCGGGTCGCACGTCCCCCCCTTTCACCTGGCTCACCGATAAACCGAGCAGTCATCATTTAGGCTGCGTTCCATTTCAGGCATATGCGCGCATTTTATATAGTGAGCGTCACGTATACTATAGGAGAATGCGCGCATATGCGTGAAACGGAACGCAGCCTTAAATACATATTAAATAAAATTATTATTTTAAATACTACCGACTCTGCTGACCGATATGACGTATATTTAAAACTATCGCAGTACTATCACGAGTTAAATTGAAATAATATATTACCACGAAAAGTAACTGATTATTAATTAATGTTGCCAATACAAAGTGAACGTAAAGTGTATGTAACTTTCGGCCGATTTTCGAATCGCCTCCGCTTTCCGCTGTACCCCTGCGGCCCTGCCTCATCTCATATTAAATACATATATATATATACATATATATTTGAAATTTTATTTTAAATAAAATTATTTTAAATACTCCCGATTGCTGACTGGTATGACGAATATTTAAAAATAAGAAACATAAAATTTAAAACAGAGTGAAATCCAATCAATTAGTATTTTATTTGAAATGTGATTTTAACAGCACGAATCGTTTAATTAATATGATACTGTAATAATAATATACACCGAAGAACATATTTTATGTTTTTTTTTTAATTTGTAATATTTTTTATATATATTTTGGATAAATATATATTAACAATAAGAATATACAAACTACTTACCTGTGAACTACTATTTCGTAAGTACAGATCGCGTAACTTTTATGTAAAGTAAACGATGTGGAAAGACGAGACAGATCTGGAGTGCCATATTGAAATAAGAAATGGTAAAGTAGGACTCAATTTCATAATTTTTTGTTGTTCTTAATATAAATTCTATCTCACAGGCACGTATTAATGCGTATACTTTAATTCTGAAAAAGGACTTTCGATGAATGATAAAAAAAAGTATTTATCATACAAAGATTATATGGTTTAGTCGGTAGTACAGACGACTTTAGGATCTCCTTAAGGGGATGCTGGAGTGCCTGTTTTATCATTACTTAGTTAAAGACTCGTTTCTCTTAATTGCATTTACGGATAGAAAAATCCTTCTGTATAATTAAAGTATCGACAACAATGAATTGCACTAGCTATATTTCAATACGACAAACGGAAGAAAATTAAAAACTTACAGTTTCGTTATCGGCTTCTGTGATTTTCGATAACGAAATTGTAAATTTTTTTTCCGTTTTTCGTATTGAAATGTAGCTAGCGCAATTCATTGTTGTCGATACTTTAATTATGCAGAAGGATTTTTCCATCCGTAAATGCAATTAAGAGAAACGAGTTGTAAGTAAGTAATGATAAAACAGGCGGGTCCAGCATCACCTTAAGTGTTCGCGCTGGAAATCGAAAGATGCCTTTAAAGTTACCAAAAAAATAGGCATCCGAATCTGAGCGTACCATTTCTGGAATTTCCCTTATTAGATATGGACTGTGTAGTCTATTCTCTATGTTCTTTACATAGTACCACGGCTCATTTATTGTGCGTCATTATGTCCTTTGCATTAATGCGCCATCATGTCCCGTATATTACTGCTCTTACTTATATTCTGCTTCGAAAGTGCACAAATTTACTTTAAATAATATAAAATATCATATAATCAACGTTTACATAAATATTTTATTAAATTGTTAAAAAAAGATCATATTTAAGCTACGGTCCACTTACTTCTTCCAAATACTCTCAATGCTACGCTCCAAACGCTATGCTTGGATTAGTTCATTACTGTTCCGAATGTTACAATTGCTACGTGAACGCTTCAGCCAACCCACCACTCGGAAGTGAGGCAGTTGAAGCGAAAACGATGACGTATTGATGACGTATCAGAGTTACTTAGAGCGTTCTGAAGCGTCATATGAACCAATCATATCAGTGCTACAAATGCTCTGTAGCGTTTGAAACGCTAAGTGGACCGCAGCCTTAATAAAATAAATAGAATACATATTGAATTGTATATTGAACCTTATACAATATGTATCAAAGAAACAGTAACTCAGTCGCGGATAGCATAGCAAATGCATTAAGTAATTTCTAGCAACTATCAGCTACCATAAACATAATATAACAACTGATAAGAGTATATCATATACATATATTATACAAGGATATGATATATAAGAGGATAAGATATATCTAACAGTTATTATTGTATAACACATTTCTTTGCATAATAGCGCATTTCTGTAGAAACATATTGATTATATCTTATTATACCCCGTGATTTCATTATGCTTCAAGTTCCCCTATAAGGATAATAATTTATTCCAATGTAACACTAACATGAAATTATTACAGGTATGCCAAAACAGTAAACGTTATATTTAATCAGATACTGTTCGTACAATTTTTTGGTAGTATATTGATATTATGTACATGTATATATTATGTATCAATGCATATTACGGAACTGTTTGGCATTGCAACTTTATTAGTATATATCATTTGCATGTTTGTACAAATTTACATTTACTGCTGGTCCGGAAATGAAGTTATACTTAAGGTAACACTCTACTACAACTTTTATCAGATATATACGGAAAAAACAACCATGGTTGAATTAACATGATATATTTGGTTAAGCAAATTTTGGTGAAAGTAAAAAGAATTTCTAGTTAATGTTGTAATCAAATATTTGGTTATGCAACCAAACCATTTAAGGGCGTGTTTAAATTCCCACTCGAGTGCTCTCCGGGTGTGTCATGTCATCCTTGTTTAACATTTGGTAAACAATAAGGATAGATGGATACCTGGGTGGCACTCGGGTGGGAATCTGAACATAGCCTAGATATGATAACAGTTAGAATTTGGTTAGTGCGTATGTAGTAATATGTAATATCCAAATATGTCTAGTTATTGTGACTACAAGGGATAAAAAGCATGGTTGGCTTATCGTGACATAATGGCTAAACAAATATTGATAGAATTAAACAAAACTTTTGGTTATCATAATTAGAAGATCTGATATTCATAATCACAATATTTAGATGCAACACCAACATAGTTTAGAGATCTTGCAAGCGAAAAAAATTGATTGGATTAATATTATATGAAAAAAGCATGGGTATAACAACCTCACTATTTGGTTAAATATAAATGATCTAACGTTATTTTAACCAGACAAATTTGATTAAACATTTTGTTTCTTAACGACTGCGTTTGGTAATTATCTTGGCATCTTCTCAAATCGGTTGAATGGTCTTCACGTTGATGGTTGAATGGTATAAATTGTGCAAAAGTGCAAAAATTTCTCGAGTGTACCAAAAATAGATCAGCGAAGACATCGCATTAAAATGCTGGGTTTAGGTGTTGTAATTTATTAAAGTGTTGGATTTGAGTGCTTGTAATTTATTTATATGTATTATTTGTCTAACTATATACCTAATAAAAAATGTAAGATTAAATCAATAATCTAACCTATAAAAAATTTTTTCTTACTATAATATTTCAAACCAGATTGGGGTTGTTCATCGAATGAAAAACCTAATTATGTTAATAATAGATATACATTATGAAATTACAACTAATAATTTGGTTGTTTTAACCAGGACATACGTAACCATATATTATCTGGTTGTCATAACTAAAATGTGTGCCATCAAATTTGTTTGGTTATATCAAACAGAATGTAAGTAACCAAGTTTGGTTGTATTAATGAAAATTTTAGATCGTTCATTTTTCACCAAATAATCAGGTTATTATAGCCAGATTTCAGGTTAATTCAATCAATTTTTTTCCGTGTATGTATTTATTAGATATATTTTCCTTGAAAAAAAAAGTCCAAAAAAGTTACATAGATTGAGATAAGATCTTAGAAATTCTTAATTTTTCGTAAATATTCGTAATGGAACGTAAAATAAGATTTGTATTCCTAGTTTATAAATTCTTAATTTTTCATAGATATTCGTAGTCGAATGTATAGAATGGCGTTATTTGAAGGCGGAAGATTTTTTGATTCTTTAACATACAATGTCACTCTACATTCCACTACGATATCTATAAAAAAGGTTTTGTCTCAACTATGTCGTTTTTCGTTAAAATTTTTCCATCAGGGGTATATGAAATAATTTAATTTTCTTAGTAAATAAAGGACTATTTTATATATGAAAAAACAAGTAGGTATGTATTTGGGTAACTAACCGGAAAATATTACATGAACAGGTAGAGCGGATTGAACTGAGTCGAAAAGTCCTCTACCGTTTTGCAATTTTCGCAATAGTCAACGAGATAATAATTGGTAAAAGTTACCGAATACGCGCGTGCGTCCGCCCGGCCTACTACTGCCAACAGTGTACGCTCATGATAGCTCAATAGCGCGCGGACCGCGGAGAGCGGGGACTGCCTGGCAAGCGTCCTACGCCGCGCACCGCGAGCTCCAATCGTCGTGACTGAGGGTGCAAACCCATGCAGCGAAATAGCGTAACGCGGAACGAGAGTAGAACCAATCACGAGATTCTCTAGAAACACGGAATGCTCGTTATTGGTTCTACTCTCGTTCCGCGTTACGCTATTCCGCTGCATGGGTTTGCACCCTGAGTGAGACAGCAGCGCGCTTGCCAGGCAGCCCTGTTCTCCGGGGTCCGCGCGCCATTGAGCTATCATGAGCGTATACTGTTGGCAGTAGTAGGCCGGGCGGACGCACGTATTCGGTAATTTTTACCAATTATTATCTCGTTGATTATTGCGAAAATTGCAAAACGGTAGAGGACTTTTCGACTCAGTTCAGTCCGCTCTACCTGTTCATGTAATATTTTCCGGTTAGTCTGGGACACCCTGTGTGTGTATATGTATGTGTTCATTAGTCTTGTATTATTTTACATGTACATACATAATACAAAATTAATAATTGATAAGATTATATGGTATTATTATATAACAATAATATTATGTTATGTTGGCAGAGTATGAGCGTAGGGGAAACTATATATTGTATGGATTGGTCACTATTATCAGTTACCGAAAAGAAAGAATTGCTAATAATTATGATACGTAGCACAATTCCTATTAAGTTCACTAGCAGCTTTTTGATAACTTTATCTCTTCAATCTTACAGCAACGTAAGTAAATATTATTACTTATGGCGAATTCGATTGGATTGCACCAGTGCAGTGTGATTGCACCAGTTCATCTTTTTTCCTTTTCCCTTTTCCTAGAAAGAAAAGGAAGAAAGATGAACTCAGGTGCACTCAGTGCGCACTAGTGCATCCAATCGAATTCGCCATTAGATAATTGGACAAAAAAATATTACAGCCAATATATATTTAGCAAATGTTTAATGGTCTATATTAATATCGCCTCTCATTTCTTTTTTAGATCTTAAAAACGTCATACTCCGCATTTAACGTACTTCAAAAACAAAATATAAATAATATAACTTAAAGCGTTGATATTAATTATGTGATATTAATTATTTGATATTAATTATGTAGTTTTACACAAATTAATAATACTAAATCTTAAAATTTCTGTTTATGTATTGCCTTAGTATTCATTTTGATTGTAAGAATGTTGACATAAACGTATGGACACAATATAGACATTTTACACAATGTAATACAATAATAACAAAAAATACTGTGCAATATATGTATTTTATTTGATTTATAAGCAGTACTAATGTTGGCTTCAACACTAAAGTCAGAAAAAAAGAATTTTTTGGTCTATATATTGTACTTGCAATGTGCTGCGTATAAGATATACGTATATACCTATGTATTTTCCTGTACATTTGCCATTCTTTGCAGATATACGCTGAGAAAAATGTCTCGGAAAAAACTAATACAATATTGTAGACTTAATTTTATCAGTTAAGTAACTTTAAATTGTAATAATGGAAAATATAAAATACACAAATTAGCTACAATTTTGTAGCAAATTTATTTTGTCACATGCAAACACAAAAATTGTGACTCTGTGAAACAAATACATAAATAAATTTTATTAATAAAAAATAAAACATTTTTCTACAATATTTTAAATAATTATAATACATTTAGAGTAACTATAGTTATACATTGGTTATGAAATTATACTATAAAATTTATAATAGTTAAATTTTTTGCGTTATTGTAGTACTCTATAAAATAATATTCTCAATATTAAAAACAACTAACATTAATTTGTAATAATATTTTGCTTCTTTATCATATAGTTTATAGTCACTATAAATACAATTTGTTCACTTCACTTTAAGCATAAAAAATAAACGGCTTTACAATAATTATAGATATGTTTTCTACAATTTGTCATAAAATATTCTGGTAAAATTATTTAAAACTACTACACCTTTTAGTTTTTGTTAATACTGTAATCTTTTAGACTCATTTATTACAAATTATCTCTGTCCTTATTTGTACTATTATTTGTAGAAGAGCACTCTTCAATTGTACTATCTGGTGCTATATTTTTTTCCGAGTGTATATGCATAAGTAATTTGAGGAATATCCTAAGTTTATTACGCATCACTTTTATTGCTATACTGAGTTTGTATTTTTATATAATAAAGTGAGAGGCTTTATGGGAAATACGATATATTCCTTGTAATTCCGATGGACATGAAAATATACAAATATTTTATTCAATAGGAACGCAACAATATGCGTGACTGTAAAGGACCGCACAATATCTCTTGGTGGTTGTAAGATGGAAAATTTTTACAATTAAAGTTACTACATTATTCATAAGTGCGGAACAGAACATGCACTTAATAATAAATGATTAAATGACATCATGTCGATTTTTTAATGACTGTAATTGATAGTAGGGTTGACAATAAGATGTTGAAGAATGTACATAGTCTATTGTAAGACGTGCTCGATTACATTTAAATAAAGTTTATTGACATAATAAGAAAATAACATATTACATCAATATTAGTATTTGTTTAATTAATCCTATTATCACACACTAGCTAAAATTCTAATAAGAAGTGATATTTTCCAAAAAAGAGGTGCGCAATAAATATTTACAAATACTATTTTTGTAGTTATGTTCATACAAATCATACATTATATACGATAGTTAATAAGATCATCAGATTCTGAAACATTATACGCAAATATTATACGTAATATATATATTAAATAAATAAAATTTGTTCTAATCAGGCAGTCGAATTTGGCATTTAATGTGTGATTTAAGCATTAATTGTAGTATTTTATATTTACAAAAAGCATAACCTATTTCATAAAAGATTATACACCTTCTATATTAAATTTTTTCTTAAACATGTTATATTTCGAATTGAATTAGCATATATTTCAAAAATTTTAGTAAAGTTCATTTTTGCAACGTTTTAAACCACTTTTTTTAGATACTTTACAGATAGAAAGAAGTTATACTTTTATACAATTTTCGATAAATTGTTTGAAAAAGCAGTGATTTAAATATGCAAATACTCTCTCTAAATTTTTTTATATATACCGTTGGCGGTATATGGCGACCTCTTGAATGGTCATCAAATGGTGCCAAGCTACTGTATAATGTATTTACCTTTATTATAATATCTTCGGAATACTTTTTGGTGTTAACTCAATTTATGGATATTATTTTCGTTGTCAATAATATCGATGATTTTGCTACAACTACTCTAATGTTTTTGACCATTGTTGCCGTTTGTTGTAAAGCGACTGTCGTTGTGATACGTCGAAATGCGATCATCAACTTAGTGCAAATATTGTTGAAAGCACCATATAAACCTCGAGACGAGGATGAAGTAGCTATACAAACAAAATTTGATAAATTTATCAGGTGAGTTCATAGCTTTATTAAAAAACTATCTTAATATTAAAATATTATTAATACTTAATATATATAATGTACTCGTATGCAATAAAATTTAATATACGTGCAATAATCTAATATGTATCCATTACATAACATTCAGTATTTTTAAATTGTCTAAATTTTATTAGTACTAATTGTACCTTTAATCAAGTGTAAGACTCCTACTATAATGATTTTATTGATAATATATTTCAAAAAATATATTGTTATGTTTTCACATGTAAAAACATTGCAATTTTCTATTCTCTGTTTAATTATTGTAATTAATAAATATTTTTTTTATTAAAATCTATTATATATCAATATCATTTTAAAGCAGGGAATGGAAGAGTTACTTTTACAGTTACTTTTATAAAAAGTAACTGTAAAAGTAACTGTAAAAGTAACTCTTTTATTCCCTGTTTTAAAGTATAGCAATAAATGTACACAACACATATACAGATTAAATACAGTAATCAAATCTTATAATTAAAAAGTGTGGCTGCAAAAATCACTCGTTTTTGATCCTGTGATTTCGAAAATAAATTATAAGACAAATAATATCTTTTAATTAATCACATAAACATCAATCACAAAAAAATTTAAGTTTAGTTTAGAATTAATTTGTCAAAGTTCATTATAACATTAGATTTAAGCTTTAAAGTAAGAATTCGTATGTCTATCAAAATTTTAAATTTTGTACCCTGGTATTTTGTCACTAACAACAGATCTTTTTAATTCAAAATGGCTAAATGACCGATTCAATATGTGGCGGATTATACTATACATGTATGATTCACAAAATTCAAAATATTTTTTTAGCCGTCTTCTTCAAATAACTTATTTTTATGATTAAAAATAGTCATAATAATCAATAACAATAAAAGGGCGAAGTAAGAGTCAAATTAAGATTAAAATTTTGAAAATGTTGACATATTAAATTTTAGACTAACAATACATTTAGACTAACAAAATTTAGACTAACAATATAAGTCTGAGGAGGACTTTATTCAGAGTCGAAACTGGTTACATCGTTATTTCATCATTATATAAGTAGAATTTAAGTAGATTTTGTTTTTGTAATCATATTTTTAATAAATTTGTATTGTTAGTCTAAAATTTAATATGTCAACATTTTTAAAATTTTAATCTTAATTTGACTCTTACTTCGCCCTTTTATTGTTATTGATTATTATATTTATGTAAAGAGTCTTTGTTATTTTTCAATTTAATAAAAATAGTTACTTTTTCAGATTTTTAAAAAAATATGCAGAGGTCGCGGAGGTCGCTTTGTAATGAAAATTTGTAATAAAAATTAATGTTTTTTATTTGTATATTTTTTTCTAAAACGAATTTACACTTTTGCAAGTTTACCAACGTATTATATTTCAAGAAATTATTATTTAAAAATTTTTTCCAAATAAAATAAAACTACTGTGTGTCTGTTATATGAAAGTGTAATTTACTATTGTACATCTTTAGATTTAATAAACTGGTAAGTGTACAAAATATTTGTTTTTAATGCGTGACTTTTTTTTACATATTTCTTTGATATCTAGCAAGTATATACTTGATTGCTTACTCGGAGAAAATATTATTTACTTTGTACATAAAATATTGAAAAATAAAAAACCGAAAAATTTGATATTATTTAAGGACTTGTATTAAGAGGGTAATTAAATACACTCAAAATCTTTTTAAAACATATTTTTATATTTGTATTATACAAATTAATATTTTATAAATAAAATGAAAAATAAAGGACTTTTTATATAAAATAATAATCTAACAAAGAAAGGACAATAAAGTAAAATTTAAAAAATTGAAAAAAAGAGCCATGATAGCGGATACTTATTATATTTAAAGACTGAATATTAAAATTCTATTATGCAGCTACTGTGACTGATGAAACTATACTAAGCAAAATAACAAAAGTCAGTATCGAACGATCAAACTTTATTTACAATGGGAATATAAGAATCGTGAAGACCTTCGGTGTCCGTTTGTAGATTAAGACTATGTTTTTGTTTATTAATGTTTAACATCTCTGAAATTATACGCTTTCTATAGTTAGGTTCTTCATCTAGAATTCTCACATCTTCCCATTGAAAATCACGATTAAATTGAAGTCTATGATCCGTAATGACAGAACGAGTGGAAGTGTTATGCCTGATATGGTAAATAAAGTTTGATCGTTCGAAATGTTTTAACCGCTTTATTTTATTTTATTTACTATCTGACTCTTATTGTCCTTTCTTTGTTAGATTATTATTTAATATTTTATAAAAACTTTGGTAAAAATGGAGATTAGGTGAGCCTCCCCCAATGACCTTGACCTTGACATATGTTGTCAAGGTCATGACCCTGAGTGACCTTGAGGAAGTTTTAACCGTCGGACCTAACTCGTTAAAAAGTTATTAACAAAAAAAGTTTCAAAATTAACGTATTATTTCTACTATACATGTATAATATGAAGTCCTATTCTACACCTTTCCCTGTTCAGAAACGTTGAACTTTCCACGCGAAGTAACTTTTACCCCCCCCCCCTCCCCTGCACAGGGGCACACGACTTCTACGATTGTACTATTGCTGTGATTGTACTGTCGGGGCAGACCTCTGTGACGGTGTGGGTGCGGGGGGGCGGCCTTTGGCCACCCCCTTGCCCCCGCCCGTGTGTGTGTGTGTGTGTGTGTCCCGTCGGTAGAGGTCTCTCCCAATAGTACCTACAATCATAGCAACAGTACAATCATGGAAGATGTGTGGACTCTTTGCAGCAGGGAGAGGGGGGTGAAAGTTACTTTGCGTAGAAAGTTTAACGTTTCTGAACAGGAAAAGGTGTAGAATAGTGATTCATAAATGGTAAGAAGTGTACCTCTTGTATTCATTTTGATTGCATTTATTCTTGGTCTGTTATATTGTGTGTGTGTCTGTGTGTGTGTGTGTGTGTGCGCACGCGCGCGCGTGTGTAAAAATAGTACTTGTTATAATACATATATGGCAGAAATGATACGTTAATACGTATAATTTTCCAGAAATGATACGTTAATTTTGAAACTTTTTTTATTAATAACTTTTTTATTAATAACTTTTTAACGAGTGAGGTCCGACGGTTAAAACTTCCTCAAGGTCACTCAGGGTCATGACCTTGACAACATATGTCAAGGTCAAGGTCATTGGGGGAGGCTCCTTTAATCTACATTTTTACCAAAACTTTTTTAAAAAATTGAAGTAAATACATATTATAAATATTGTGTAACGTATATATTATATGTATTAGGTATACAAATAAGTTTTAAAGCGTTTTTAATGTGAAATTTAATATTTATTTATTTAAAAACGAAAACACACTTAATTATCAAAATAATTTCCATTATTATTTATAACCTTTAGCCATGTTTCGGGCAGCTTGCGAATTCCAGAAGCAAAGAAGGTTTCGTCTTTCGATGCGATAAAATTATCCACCCATTTTCGCACTTCTTCAAATGCTCGAAAGTATACACAGGACAAGGCGTTTTGAATTGACCGGAATAAATGATAGTCTGAAGGGGCTATGTCTGGGCTATACGATACGCCGGTAGATACGGTAGAATTACCCAACCAAGCGTTAGCAACGTTTCTTTTACAGGTTTACCAACATGAGGCCTAGCGTTGTCATGAAGCAATTTCACGGGACGTTTTCCTTTACTAGTAAATGGACATGTTTATTTTATTTCTTGATTTAAACCGATCAATTGTTGACTGTAGCAAGTTCTTTTTGTGTTCGACATGAGTTTTGATCAAGTAATGCTTGCAATTGATTGTCTGTAACCTTCTGAGGAGCATCATTACGTTCTCTATTGCTAACATCAAAATCATCCTCTTTAAATTGCCTAAACTAAAACTCATACGTACTTTTGGATACAACATTGTCTTCAAGATCAGAACAAATTGATTCATACGCTTTAGCAGCGCTTTTTCCTTGATGAAATTCGTATCGAATGCAGTGTTGAATAAATTGCTTGTCGCTCGCCATTTTAAAACCATTTAATTTTGAGTTTCCAATTGTGCAAAATCAATTGTTTTTTTTTAATAGTAGGGTAAGGCGGGGGTAGTTGAGCCACTTTTTCTTTAAATTATTATAAATCTTCACACAATTATGATAGATGCTTTACTAATGATAAATGCTTTAAAACGTTGCATGCTTATCTACCTCAACAATTAAGTACTTATAAATCCTTAATATACCTCGTTAATTAGAAAGAAATTATGTTAATTGCAAGGATGCAAAGTGGATTAATATGCCCCACCAACGGGGTATATTGGGCAACTCCGAAGGGCAAGTTGAGCTATGAAGGTAATAATTGTGTGTATTAAGATTATATAATATATAATTTAAAAAATTGCAGAATTAGATGAGTTAACGAAGTCTTTATTACAGTTTGTAATTTCTTTTTATAATAATCTGTATTTCCTTTGTAAATATAAAAGAAAAGAACAAAAATGAAACTAAAGTTTTCATGATAAAGATTATGAATGCAATAAAGAAAGAATAATAATTATTGAGTTTAGCTTCCTCATCTCCGATGTTAATAAAATTAGGCTTATTCAATGCGTTTTTGCACGAAATAAATGAATCTGGCAAAAAAGAGTGTCTCGCGAACCAAGATATTAATTAAGATAAATTAAGATTCTATTATTTGATTCTATTATTAAGAAAAATTAAGATTCTATTATTTGTCAAGATATTAATTGTTAAAGTTGACAGATATTTAGGTAAGGAAACCTATCACATCGTTACAAATGGTTATACAAATTCTGTTTTATAAACAAATTCTTTACTTTAGAAACAAACGCTCTGGTATAAAAATACAAATTTTAGTTTCACTTACATGTTCTCATGTCTCTTTCTGCCATTGGTGTGACAGATTTCCTAATCTATCGTCAACATTAACGATTAATGTCTCGATCCGTGGGTCACAGTGACACATTTTTTTGCAATTTTCGTT